AAAATGTATGAAAGATGTACAGCAAAATATATGAAAATGGTGTAAAAAAAAAAAAGGCAACAGATAGCCAAACTGAGCCTCGGGTGGTGGAAGCTGGGAGTGAAACCGGTTGACCGACCGGATAATTGGCCGGTTGTCCTATTTGCTGAAATATTCGATTTGTGCAGCTCAGCTCTGAAATTGTGAAGCTATTAAGAATATGAAGCGCTGGTTCAAACTAACCTCTTATGAAAGCTCTTCATCTCCGATTTTACATGGATATATCTACATTGAATTTATGATACTGTATGGTGAAGAAGTTGCTGAAGTTGTTGGAATGAAGATGGTGAAGATGGTGTAGTTAAACAAATGAATATGCTGACTTATATAAAGCCTCAGTTCCAGAAGTTGCTCTTTTTATTTATTTTCCTTTTCTTTCATCGAATACTGACTTATAGCTCTTTTTATTTATTTTTCTTTTCTTTCGAATACTGACCACCGACAATCTGTGGCTCAGTTTTGACTTTTTTTTTCTTTTCTTTTATCGAATAGTAACCAACTAACAACCAGCAGAGGAGAGGGGGGGTGTCTATTGCATGAGTGAAATTACGATATTGTCCTTTTCATTTCATACTTACATAGCAATTTGACATTCTATGAAAGAGGGTAAGTTATTCATTTTATAGCCAAACACATCAATCATATGAGGCAGGGTGAGGGATAATAATATGAGCTTCACGGGTGAGGCAGGGTGAGGGACAATAATGAAACTAGGAAAACAGTACAAGATAAAGCATTTTTTATTAAATCAATAAAATTTAACAAATGAAAAAATGTTGATAATGTTTGGTAACACGTTTGGTAATGTTTGCGTTTTGGTTTGTATTTAAAAAGATTTAATAAATTAGTTTTTGTTAATTGTTATAAATATGTAATCTCCAAACGTGTTGGTTTAAACAAAATATTTGAAAAATATTAGAAACGTATAGAACAAAATGTTTATTTAGGCCTAAAAAATTAATTGACAGAAAAATTAACTGACAAAAAATAATTGACATAAAAGTTATTTGAAAAAAAAAATTATTCAAAAAAATTATTTAAAAACAATTAATTGAAAAAAAAAATCATTTTTTTTTTGAGTATTTTAAAAATAGTTTGGTTATGACTGTTGATCAAAAACACGGATATCGAGTTGTGAGTTGTGTGTGTGATTATCAATTATAGGTTGAATTAAGTTTTGAAAACTATTTTGAAAACTCATAACTAAACAAATTTTCTTATTTTACATGTTACATCAAACTTTCAAAACTAAATTCCACACACAATTCAAAACTCAATTCAACACTCTATTAAAAAATCATAACCAAACAAATTTTCTACACTCAAATCATAATTCCAAAACTCATAAACTCAAATGCAACTCTATTCTCAAATCATATTTAAAAAAACTCTACCAAACGTAACCTAAATATTTCACGTTTTTGTAAGCAAGTTTAATTCTACTTGTATTACTTATTTCCACATTGGCCAATTATTTCTACGTTGTCATTCTTCGACAGTTTATGGTTTATTATTATCATCACTTTTGGTAATGCTTTCACCATTACTTCTGGTAATAGCAAGAGTAACATTAAACGAAAACATATTGTCGACAACAGTTTAATTTCTATCACCAATATCTCATGTACTTATATAATGTATTGAGATCTCATTATTTTTAGATACATTTTCCACTTTAAGGGATAACTCTTCAAGAGATTCCACTTCAAGGGATAACTCTTTAGGAAATTCTACGTCAGGGTATAACTCTTCAAAAGATTCTTCTTTCTAGAGGTTCTGCTTCAAAAGGTTTAAAAGTAGAAGATTTATATATATTTATTATAATAGTATGTTTATTGAGTCTAGCCTCTTCAAGAGTGCTAGGTATAGTCTCTTCTAAAGCACCTCTTCAGGAGCGCTGGCGCATCTCTGAGTTTAACCTATTCAAGAGTGCTAGGTATAGTCTCTTCTGGAGCACCTCTTTGATAGTGCGGATATAGCCTTTTTAGGAGCGCTAGATAGGGTCTCTTCAAGAACACCAATTGTCTTCTTCTTTCAAGAAATTTTATCTTTTGCATCGACAGGTCTACCACGCTTCTAGCGTGACTTAGATACATTTACAGCTATACCAGCAGATTGTCCTTCAGGGACATCAATTTTTGTTGGAGTATTAGCAGCTGGAATATAGGTTTTTATTATATTTTTAGAGTCCGCAAAGACATCCAGTAATTGATTTTCTTATACTCAGAAAATAAATAATCCTTTGAACTTTTAGTTCACGAGGATCAAGGTAAGATAACATCGAATTATTTCAAGTGATTTCACGTCGAGTTTTCAGGCTGCAACTTTTCTCCCCCTGATGATGGGAAGATTGCTTTATAAAAATGACAATCCTCAAAACATGCTCTAAATCCATCACATGCTTCTTTCTTTTTTTTTATCAGCAAAAAAAAAAAAGCAATTTAATGATGAATAATAAATTATACCATACATCAATAAAGGTGATGGATGCACAAGCATCATAGTAAAGTACTATAATCCCAACTAGGTTGGCACCATAGAATAAGCCCATTCATCTACAGCATCTAATCAAGTTGGTGAGTAACCAACCAAAACTCAAAAGTAAATCCACACCATACATAAAAAAAAAAAATAGCACACAAAATACTCCCATGCCATTAGCAATAGCAGCAATAACCATACGCAAATAAATCAATTCCTTGCAGCAACATCACTAATAGTAGCAGCCACTAGCAGCACTATCATTTGCAACATCCCTTTTCATGACACTTCAGTAAAACACAAAGCCAAAAGGCAACTCAAAAAGACCAGAACAAAAATTCACACTCAACCAGGACAGCCTCCAATTCAATCCAGCAGCATGTTGATATCAGCACCTGATCTGATCATAACAGCCGCCACGGGTGCCCAATCACTTAACACATAACCTGATTTGTTGTAGGTTTGATACAAACTGATTAATTGAGTAGTCTCTTCCCACCAAATTTGACTTCATCCACATTGCTACTCTTACCTTAATGAGATCACAGAGTTCTTCTAGATTAGGTTGTACCTTATTAAAAATAACTTCATTTATGTGCTTCCACATAGACCAAAACAATGCTACTGGTAGTGCTTTCCATATTTGTAATTCCCTTTTTTTAAACTTCCATCCACTCCATCACTGGAGCAAGCATTCCTCTGTGCCTGGAACAACCCATTGCACTCCCCACCATTTAATGATACTAGACCAGGTTTTCTAAACAAAAAGGCGATGTAGCATTATATGTGAAAATCTTAATTCCCGAAGATATTGATTTGTGATTATGTATCAATTTTAAATAGTAAATAACAATCCCATTCAAAGACGAATCAAGACAATGATTTAACGTGGAAAACCATAATTGGAGCGCCTCCAATTGTATAAAAAACCGTGGGCCAAAACCACAAAACAATCCACTAAAAAGACAAAAAAGAATTACATAAGTGTACGCTCAATTGCCTAGTAAATCCATGCTTGAATTAAACCACCCCAATGTGTCTCTTCCAACACCGTCTTCACCTCGGAATTGTCTTGTCCAACGTTGAATCCACAATGCCGATGTCGAATCACGACGATGAGCCACTTTGGAATCCACCAGAGCTTTAAGCCCAAATTCCTTGAATCCACCGAAGAATAACTCTCTTTTTTGTATTAAATAAATAAAACTACCCCCTTTGATAGAATACACTCAATTCATGATATGAACTCTCACAGGTATCAAAGGAAACAGGAAAAGTAGCTCTAAACGAAAACCTTAATACCTAAAAAGAAGATATGGAAGTCGTACCCTAGAAACTGATTTAATTATAGCTTTATAGCAAACAGAATCGTGATCACCGCTCAAGCGCAAGAATGGCCGCTTAAGCGGTGTGACTTAAACGTGTGTTCCTGAACAAGTGTCTTCAGTCGAGTGATGGAAGGTTCGCTCGAGCATAGAATGTCAACTCCCGGTACTTTTGCAGACGAGTGAAACTTCTGAGAGGAGTGCATCTTCACTCGATCCCTAACATAGTTAGCGAAGTGGCAAACATGAAAGGATTAACATCACAAACTCCTCTGCAAAGCACAATTTGGGTTGGATTCGCATCTAAACACTTATAGTCTCACTAAAATAAAAGATCGAGTAAAATTACAACTACAATAAGTTTTGTCAAACGGGATTGCCAATAACAAAAACCTAACAATATGATTTGATGATTCCTCCCCTGTTCTATAGAGAACACAGCTTGGTTCCATATTAGAGTTAACAACCGCAATCTTCTGCAAAAAAATCTAATGTCTTTATTCTCCCTTTCCACACCAACCAAGCGAAAAACTGAGATTTTGGAGATGCAACATTATTCCAGATTAAGCCAGATAAACTTTTCATAGGTCTATAATTCAGCTCACATCAATTATATACTGATTTTACATTGAAACACCCTAAGCTTCTATCTTTCCATCTGATGTTGTCCATTGCTTCCAAACATAGCGCTGGACTTGATCCTAAATCCTCCTTCATTTTTTTCAATTCCTCTTCTTTCCACACCCGTAAAATCCTTCTAAAACTAAAGAACCAATCATCATTTCTAGCTTTTTTGTCCACAATCTCTTTTAATGTTACCCCTTTATCAGTAGAAACACTAAATAATCTTGAGTATTTCTCTTTAAAACAAAAGCTACCCTGCCAAGCATCCTCCCAAAACTTAATCCTTCGCTCATTCCCAACTTTGATTTCAACATTTTCCATAAAAAAATTAAAACGTCTGGGATTGGATTATGCTACTAATAGAATATCACTCCAAATCCTTGAGCTAGGATTAGCAGCCATAGGGAAAGGAAATTCCACCATCAGCTCCATACCTGCAGCAGATCAATGTCTTCTATAATGCATTATCTTCGTACCCAAACCTCCACCACCATTTGGCAATTAGACTTTCGTTCACTACTTTAATGGTCCTTATCCCAATCCTCCAAGTTTCTTACTCACTGTAGCTTCTTTCCACTTCACAAGATGAATCCTTCTCTTCAGATCATTGTCTCCCCATAGAAATGCGGATTGTATCTTATTTAGCTTCTTTACAATTCCTTGAGGCATCCTAAATAAAGACATGTAATAGATTGGAAGATTGGACAACAGAGATTTAATTAATGTCATGCTACCAGCAAAAGAAAGCACTCTTCTTTTCCATCTGGCTAATTTGGCATTGAACATATCCACCACAGGTTTCCAAGTTTGCTTTCTTCTAGGATTAGCCCCTAAGGGCAAACCTAAGTATTTGAAAGGGAGCTTTTGACTTGTGCAATTTAATCTTGAAGCAAATTCATCAACTGGAGTCTCATCAATTCCCACTCCATTGACAGTACTTTTATGGTAGTTGATCTTCAGTCCAGACACTACTTCAAAATATCTTAGAATCCTCTTCACATTTGTAACCTCTACCCAATCAGCCTCACAAAATAAAATCGTGCCACCATCAAACTGTAGATGAGATAAATTCAGACCTTCATTCCCAATACTGAACCCTCTTATCAGTCCAAGTTCTTTGGCTCTTGATAGTACCATGTTTAGGCCTTCAGCTTCAATATTGAACAAGAATGGTGAGATTGGATCCCCTTGCCTTAACCCTTTTTGGGGACACAGTTCCTTAGATAGGGAAACATTAATAAGAATTGAAACTCTAGCTAAAACTAAACATGTCCTCATCCATTTCACCCATTTTTTTTCCAAAACCAAACTTACCCAACATATCAAACAAGAAACTCCAATTTATTGTATCATAAACCTTTTCAAAGTCAAGTTTGATTACTAAGGATCCAAGATATCTAATAATAGATGGAGAATCAAAACTAACATAAACTCCAAGTTTATGTTAAAGACCTGTAGACGCGCTCTCGGGAACTCTCCGATATTCGCGCTCGAGGACACGAATCTCGTTTTGTTCTGAGCTACTACAGTTCGGACTCAAATGTCACGGTTCTGAATCTAATCTCACAATGTGCAATGTGAGACCGATAAATCACCAAAGAGTCCAAATCCAGGAAATCGTTTTGGAAAACTGATTTTTAAAAAGAAGTTTCAAACATGGACTGCTTTGCCAGATATAGAGTCACCACCTAAATATTTTATTTTGGGGGAATTTAGGAAACCCTGACTCGTGTCTAAGGCCACGTGTCCGTCATCACCAAAGTTGCCTCGGCTCGGGAACTTAGGTACGATTGGGGAAGGTCATGTAATGAGCACCCCTACTCGCCCGATCAAAGATCGGCTTATACTAAGCATGATATCTTGTTTTTGAAAACACATGTGCTCTTATTCCGATTAATTACCTAATCTTACTATGTGATGCGCACAGCAAACAAGTATAGACTAGATCACCTAATTTGAAACGAAGCATTGCATATCCGTTTGTTTGGAAAATGGTTTGAAGTTTGCTACTCGCAAGTAGGCTAAAATGCAGATTTCAATGAATTGTTTCAATTCAAGTAATCCAACCTTCACCCACAGGCATTCAAGCAGTTATAGAAAATATGCAATTAGCCTCATGGTAAGCATGCTTTCATGGCAGCATTAACACACGTGCAGTATGCTAAAGCGTAAACACTTACAGTGTACTCCGAGCCAAAACAAAGAACCAGTTAGAAATCATGCATGATCCTAGTTCATGTTAAGATGGCTAATGCAACACATGCGAAAATGCAGCTAAAATAGGCTCAGCTATCTAAAATGTCATGTGAAATGCAACTTCATAACATGTTGTTGAACACGTATTCAAGTAAATGTATTGAAAATACAATGCAGTTAGTATGATGCGCCGAGCCCGATGCATGCAATACAAATGAATGGATGCATGTATGCGAGCATAAGGTATGCTAAATGAAATATGCCCTAAAACTAACCATCGTAAGCGGTTAACTAAAACAGAGAAAGAAATGGAGATTGGAAGACATGCATCACACACACGCACGCTTATTACAACAATATGGCCCTCTCGAAGAAGAGACCAAATAAGAAGCTAACTAGCTAATCTAAGCTAATTAAAACTAATTATTAAAAAATAAATTAATTAACTAATCCTAGTTAACTAATTATTACAAAACAAATTGAAATAGCTGACGCATTAACTAATTAAAGTACAAACCAAAGCAAAAGCAAGCTATCTAAGCATGGTAGCTAAGGAAAGCAATAAAAGAAGGAGGTTCTCGGTGGGAGAAGACTGGATGCATGCTCGGTCGCCTCGTTCGGATATCCAAGGCGATGCCCCGATTTGCCTCTATTTTCATTTGTTCTTAGAAACTTGCACCAAGCTCCAGAAAGCTAAAACTTCACCTTAGGAGTCCTGTGGGAGGGTGGCCGACCACTTTTGGTCTCTCCAGACACCTGCCGACCACTTTTGGTTGTTGAAAAACCAGAAAAGTGGTAGGCCAGCTAGTTTTTTTGGCTAGCCGGCCAGTTGTTGCTGTTGAATTCCAGTTTGCTGCAACAGAGAGCAAGAAAGGGCATGGCAATGTATTTACGAGATATGTGTGCACAACCACCCTCCCTATCATGTCATGAACTCAAGGGAGTACGGTTCTTGACCCTCGGGCCACCAATCGCGCATTTCAATTCATGATGGCCGAGAGCCGAAGTTGCACAATTAAATATGAAATGAATGCACAAGTAAACACATAAAGCCTAAAACTCTATCATGTATGATCAAGAGCATCGGCGACCGGGAATCGAGGCACGTTTCATCACTTTAAGTATGAAACGTCCCTCTTTTCCTGTATTTGGACTAACACCTATTCCAAACACAATGCAACACATAACATGGCATGCACAATACAATGTAACATGGAGTATGCAAAAATGTAATGCAATGGAACAAGCATGCAAACAACGTGCAAGGGACAAGCATGCAAACAACATGCAAGGCAACATGATCAAACTACCAATGCTAAGGGCATGCGTACTCAATGCAAGGCAACATAAGCATGCACAATGCAACTACATGACATACTTGATGCAAAGTGACATGATCAACTTAACAAAGCTAATGACATGCGAACAATGCCAATGCATGCATACACAATGTAATGCAATGCAACAAGGGAAACTTATCAATGTTAGGGACGTGCATATTCAATGCAAGGCAAAATAAGCATGCAAACAACATGATACAATGCAACTAGCATACACAATGCGAATGGACATGGCATACACAAATGCAATGAACCAATATGGCATACTCAATGCAATATGACCATGGCATACACAATGCGAATCAAGAGCATAGCATGCGCAATGCAAACAACAACATAACATGCACGGTGCGATGTGATATGGCATACACAATGCTCAATGGGCTTAAGCCGAATGTGGGTAGACCTCAGCCATGTCAAAAACAGAGGCCATAATGCTAATATGAAGGCACCGAAAACACATACAAGCATGCATGCCAATTGGCTCACCAATTAAGGCACTAAGTTGCAACTCTCAAGAACACTTAAAGAGTGAAAAAAGCATGAAAGTGTAGCAACATTAAGTGCACTGAAATGAGGTAAGAAATGATTCTAAACCATTTAATCAACACAGGCAAGGCATGCAAAGGTCCTTAAAGCATGAAGCTAGTAAAGAGGACTACAAATGAGGCATGCAATACATGGCACAAATGCATGAACTAAGCAAGGATAGAGCTCAAGTAAGTCAAAATAAGGACCTAAACATGCTGAGATGAGGGCTCAAAGGCCTAGGCATGCAAGCATACAAGCTAATGCATAAACTAGGCAACAATGGACAACACTTAAAGGCATTCAAAGCATGATTGAGGTAGGGACATGGCAATGCTAAATGCTCTGAAATGTCATGTTAAGTGATGCCAAATCATGTACACAACACAAATGAAGCATGAAATGGTGCTCAAAGCTTGAGGCAAGCAAGAGCATTTGTACTACAAGTATACAAAACATGAAGCATGTGACCTAGGCAACCCAAAAAAGTCCTAGAACATGTCAAAATGAGTCTAAAACATGTATGGAAGGATGCCAAAACAAGCTAGCATGGTGAGCATGAGGCATGGTGCATACAAGGCAAATAAGGTGGATTACACTACACCTATTAAGACCAAGCATGGAATGACTTAAGCAATAAAAATCAAAGTTATATCATGGAAAAATAACCCCAAATAAACACTGAAATGATGGCTCGCAAGCTATGGCATGAAGGCATATGCAATGATTCATGTTAAGGCATAAAGGGGCAAACCCTCCAACACATTGAATGAGCAAAAAATGCAAGTGCATGAGCATGAAACATGGACTGAAATCACATTACAAATGATGTCAAATCATTAAAATAGTCCAAGTAATGCATGCTAGAGGATTCAATACACAAAGCTAATAAGCTAGATTGAACCAAGGCTATACAAAGCAAGTCATGCATGGCCAAAACAACTAAAATCAGAGCTAAAGCATGTTAAAACATGGACAAAAGCTTCATGAAGTTAAGCCAAAAGCATGCTAGAATGACATATTACAACATGATGCATGTTAGGCTATTTCATGGAATTGCATTACAAGTGCATGGAGCATGCAAGGGCCAACCAAACCAAACCAAACCAAAATAGAGTCATGACATGGAAAAACATCACCAAAAACATGCTAAAATGGAAAGAAAACAAGCTAGAATGACATGCTACTTCATGAAGCATACAAAGTTAGTTTGTGTGATTTACACTACAAGTGTATTAACCATGCATGGAGTGACCAAACCAAGCAAAAATAGTGGTATGCCTCAGCAAAATAACCACAAATACAAGCTAATATAAGGCCAACAAAAGCTTAACAAAGATGCTCAAACATGAGGCATATGAAGCTAGTAAACAAAATACAAGGAGAGGTGATGACCCTCTCCTATTTAGGACACCAAAACCACCTTTCCACTACTGACAATCCTCTGGATTTCAGTGGTAGAAAGGTCATGCAAAGGGTTCAACAAGAGCCTAAAGGGATGGCTCAAAATAAGGCCTAATAAGGCCTAAGAGGGGGGTAAATCACCCCCAACGAAAAAGTGACCTAAAATAACTATTTTAAGCACTTAAAAATAGAACTTTTTCTAGTTAAGAGTCAAGCTTAAAACAGCATGCAAGTTGGTCTAAAAGCTTTAGCAAAAATGGGAGATTTAAAGGTCAAAGACTCACCCTTGAAGACCTCCTTTATAACTGCAACTCCAGCAAGTTTTTCAAGCTCAAACCCACCCAAGAACACCAACAACAACTTCAAGAAGCCTCAGCAACACAAGCAAGGTGTTTGAGTGTGTCTTTGTGTACAAAAGTGAGACAAATCTACACTTTAAGGCACAAAACAAGAGAGAAATGAAAATGTATAGATATAGATTATATGTATGGCTCAAGCAAGTTTTTTCTGAACCTAAAGGAGAGAGGAGCAGCCTCCCACTTATAGAAGACAAAAGCCAAAGCTTCTTGGAGAAGCTAAGGACCAAGGAAATCCCTCCATACATATGTATAGAGGATAGCCCAAAAGCCCTCCAGCTGTGCCAGCTGGAGGAAAATATCTCTAAAATGG